TGCTGAGGAATCGAACCCAGGGCCTCATGCATGCAAGGCAAGCGCTCTACCACTGAGCCACCTTCCCAGCCCATGACAAAGAATTTAAAAAAAAAAAAAGGAAAAATAAAATATAAAAAACACCTGTGAAAGATGTAGAAAGGATGCCTAAAAAAGACCCTTTTTATGCAATGAATATTTACTTTCTATTTGGAGGCCAAATAATTTCTTCATTCAGTTTCAGTATAAAGATACAGTACTAGCCAGGCACTGGTGGCTCACGCCTGTAATCCTAATTACTTAGGAAGCTGAGATCTGAGGATCAAGGTACAAAGCCAGCCCAGGCAGGAATGTTTGTGAGACTCTCTAACCACCAGAAAACCAGAAATGGCACTGTGGCTCAAGTGGTAGAGCGCTCCCCTTGAGTTGAAGAAAGAGCTGAGCGACAGCACTCAGGTCCAGAGTTTTAGCCCCACAACTGACACCCCCCAAAAAAAGCGGGGTGGCAGTGGCTCATACCTGTAATCCTAAGTACTCAGGAGGTTGAGATCTGAGGATCATGGTTTGAAGCCAGCCTAGGCAGGAAAGTGTGTGGGAGTCTTATCTCCAATTAATTTCCAGAAAACTGGAAGTGGCGCTGTGGCTCAAAGTGGTAGAGTACTAGCCTTGAGTAAAAAAGCTCAGGGATAGCACCCAGGCCGCGGGTTCAAGCCCCAGGACATACACACAAAAAAAGCAGAAAGATGGAAGCAGAGTCATGACTCAAGTGGTAGAATGCCAGCCAAGAAGCACATGAGGTTTTGAATTTAAGTCCCAGTATCAGCACTCATGCGCACACGCATATGATTGTACACAGAGAAAAGGTTGGCATATGAGGCTACCTTGGGCTACATGGAGATACCGTCTTAAAAACAAAACCAATGGGCTGGGAAGGTGGCTCAGTGGTAGAGCGCTTGCCTTGCATGCATGAGGCCCTGGGTTCGATTCCTCAGCACCACATACGAAAAAAGCCAGAAGTGGCGCTGTGGCTCAAGTGGTAGAGCCCTAGCCTTGAGCTGAAGAGCTGAGGGACAGCGCCCAGGCCCAGAGTTCAGGCCCCATGACCGGACCCAAAAAAACAAAAAAACAAAACCAAATGTTCTATTTAACAAAAGAATGGCTTAAGGGCTGGGAATGTGGCTTAGTGACAAATAATCCAGTCTTTGACATGAGCAGGCAAGCTTACCTAGGTCTCCACTGAGCAGGGCTTCAGCCAGAGGTGGGTTACGCTCCTTCAGCAAGGACAGCTCATGCGGGTTGGCCAGCAGCATGTCTCGGAGCAGAGCTGGGTTGTCCAAGCCCTGAGGAGATGATGCCATTTCTCTAGGAGATGGGTGGGCCTGCTGTGCTCCTAGCGACTGGCGCTGCCGGGGACCTGATGTGCCAGGCACTGCTATGCTACTAAAGTCTATCCGGGGTAAGTCTGTGGGGAAGATATATACAATACACTCAAATGAGTAAAAAACAAGTTCATACACAGTGTGCAATAGTAGCATGTCTTTCCACTTGATCATACTTTTGACTATAAAAACTGTAGTCTTCTTTTTTTTTTGCCAGTCCTGGAGCTTGAACTCAGGGCCTAGGCACTGTCCTTGAGCCTCTCTGTGCTCAAGGCTAGTGTTCTACCACTTGAGCCACAGCGCCACTTCTGGCTTTTTCTGTTTATGTGGTACTGAGAAATTAAACCCAGAGCTTCATGCATGCTAGGCAAGCACCCTACCACTAAGCCATGTTCCCAGACCAAAAACTGTAGCCTTGAGAATGAGTTGATAGGAAAAGGGGGACAGAAAATGGAGCAGTGGCTCAAGTAGTAGAGTGCCTGCCTTGAGCAAAAAAACTCAGCAACAGCCTCTAGCCTCTTAAGTTTGAGACCCAGAACCAGCAAAAACAAAACAACAGCTCCCCCCACCTCACCCCCCCAAAAAATAAAGCAATCAATAGCTCATATCAGTAATACTACAGTAATACTAGCTACTAAGAAGGTAGAGATCTGATGATTATAGTTCAAAGCCAGTCCAGGTAGACAAACTAGAGAGTCTATCTCTAATTAATAAGCAAAAAACTAGAACTGGCAGCATGCATGCATCAAGTGGTAAAACTCCAGACATGACAGAAAAACCCAAATGAGAGCAAGAAGCATTAAATTCAAGCCTCATGCTATCATAAAAACAAAACAAAAAACACAAAAGACTGAGAAAACAGTTCAACTGGTGGAGCACTTACCCTAAGAAGTGAAAGACAAGTAGAGCCAAAATGAGGGTATTGGCCTGGGTCAATCTATTGTTTTTCTACCCCAAAAATACATGTATCCTCAAACAACCTATCTCAAGTTTGGGACTATCAAAAGGAATGTTTAAACTCAGGGGTAAGGTTTCAACTTCACATTTGAGGGTTCAACTAGTTACCATGTTCAAAACCTCAGCTGAGCTGGGTGCTGGTGGCTCATGCCTGGATAATCCTATTCAGGAGGCTGAGATCTGAGGTTCGAGGTTCAAAGCCAGTCTGGGCAGGAAAGTCCATGAGACTCTTCACTTGATCTTAGCCAAAAGGCTGAGAAGTGATGTCCATGAGACTCTTATCTCCAATAAACCACCAGAAAACCAGAAGTGATGCTGTGGCTCAAGTGGTAGAGGGCTTGCCTTGAGCTGAAGAGCTCAGGGACAGCACCCAGGTCCAGAGTTCAAGCCCCACAACCAACAAAACAAACAAACTCAGCTGAGCAGGGCACAGGTGGTTCACACATGTAATCCTACACTCTAGAGGTTGAGATTTGAGAATCAGGGTTTGAAGCCAGGCCAGGCAGGAAAGTCAGTAAGATTCTTATTGCCAATAAACTACTCAGAAAAAGCCAGAAGTGGCACTGTGGCTCAAGTGGTGGAGTGCTAGCCTTTAGCAAAAGAAGCTCAGGGACAGTGCCCAGGCTGAGTTCAAGCCAAGACCGGGAAAAGAAATACTCAGCTAGGAGCTGGAGAATATGCATCCAACAAGAAAATGAACAAGTGGCTTATCTATGCTAGTTTAAACATCTATGAAGCATGCCTTCTGTCAGAAATTTGATTCCTACCCACTATACATTACCTTGAGAGTCCATTCTCTTCAGAATAACTTTGAAACACTTGTGTACTCTAAACCAGATCTTGCTATTTCCTCAAACCTACTTGCCGTCCTGTCCATATGGAAACAGCAACTTGCTAGTACCAACAACATCACCAGATTAGCCAAAGCGAAAATTTGGTTTTTATTGACTGGAGTTATTTGAACCACTGTCTTTCTAAAGTTTAGCTGTAGCCTGCGAGGGACTAATGCAATCAAGATGAGAAGGACCCAGAGCTTGCTGCTCTCTGTGGCTCCAGTGTCAGACTGAATGGAAGCCCTGTGCTTCAAGCTGGAGTCCATTACCCACAACACCTATCATCTACTGTAACTTTCAAACCAGGTCACCCAGTGGCCAAGCATTGTTTGAAGAACTACCAGTTATGGCAGGAAGTAGAACACTAGCACATTCATCAGGTAGTTCTACATCAAGACCTATGATGTCAGGATACTGGGGTAGGATTGTGAGTTCGAGGCCAGCCTGGACTACATAGGAGGACAACATACGTGTCCTTTTCATGGATCATGAACCCCTTTGCGTGTCTTAAGGAAAACTATGGATCCTATCATCAAATGCCCTTATATGCCCACAATTCTGTGTATTTCTGGGACAAATGAACTTCTTTTTTTTATTGTTGTTGATTGTGGGGCCTGAACTCTGGGCCTGGGCCCGGCTTTTCATGAAGCTCAAGGCTAGTGCTCTACCACTTGAGCCACAGCACTACTTCTGGCTTTTGCTGCTTATGTGGTGCTGAGAATTCGAACCCAGGGATTCATGCATGCATGAGCCACTGAGCCATCTTCCCAACCCCCAAAGGAACTTCTCATAACCAAATACAAACTCCAAACTTTTATGAATGGAGCATCCAAGATTGTTTTAGTGTGAAGGGAAAGAGCACCAAGTTTTGAGTTCCTGTGCTTTTTTTTGCAGGGTATAGCTGGGGGGGGGGGGGGGGGGAGTGGTGATGGTGATAAGTTGTGGGGCCTGGACGTTGTTCCTGAGCATATTAGCTCAAAGCTAGTTCTCTACCATTTTAAGCCATAACTCACTTCTGGTTTTTGAATGGTTAATTGGAGGTAAGAGTCTCATGGATTCTTTTCCTGGGCTGCCTTTGAACTATGATCCACAGATCTCAGCCTCCTGATTAGCTGGAACTACAAGCATGAGCCACCAGCAATCAGGTGAGTTTCTGTGCTTTATTTACTAGCTATGTCATTCTGCTAACATCAGTGAAGTCTGAGCTTCATTTCTCTTTTTTTTGGTTGTGGGTCTTGAACTCTGGGCCTGGGCGTTGTCCCTCAGCTCTTTAGCTCAAGGTGAGCACTCTACCACTTGAGCCACAGTGCCACTACCAGTTTTCTGGTGGTTTATTGGAGATTAGAGTCTCATGGACTTTCCTGCCCCAGCTGGCTTTGAATCATCATCCTCAGATCTCAACCTCCTAAGTTGCTAGAATTAGAGGCATGAGCTACCAGCACCTGGCCTCATTTCTTATAATAGTAATAGTAAAGAGTTATCAAGTGATGCCCCACAACCGAGAAAAAAAAGAGGGACTAAGTGAAAAAATGTAAGTCCAAGTCCTAACCACCAGACAAGAATAGCAAGTCAATCAGTAATCACAGGCTCACACAGTCTCTCAAAGTGCTTCTCTAGGACAAAGATTACTGTGTTAATTATCACTGGTAATGACAGAAGCTAATGTTTACCACAGGCTCTCTGTACCAAAGATTTCACATGCACTGGTCTCACCTCAGCTCTCAGGGCTAGGATTCGTTATTATGACAGCTACCTTTACAGAAGAGGAAACCAATCTGAAAAGTCAAACAACTTTTCCAAGGTTACCCACTAAGTGAAGTTGGAAACTATACCCTAGAAAGTGGAACCCAAAGCAAATCCACAATGCAGAAACACTAGAAGTGCTCAAGTTAGGGGAGGCTAACCACAGGGATTATCTTACTTGAGAACTGTACTGGAGGCCGAGGGTCTGCATTCTCCTTTTGGCGCAAAATCACAACATCTCCATCCTTCAAGCCATAAGAAGCCAGTGACCTATGGTTGTCTGTGAGTGGTCTTTCAGCATGGACGATCTACAAAAAAATATTTAACACAGCATAAAGCAAAGGATCGCATTTTCCTCTTAATCAGGCAAGGTTCATCCCTATTAGAAACCTCCCAAGCAAAGGTTGGAAGTGTGGCTCAGTTGGTAGAGCACCAGCTAATGAATGAAAGTATCAGTTACTGAGTTTGAGTTCCAGTTCAGACCTTTAAAAAAAGAAAGAAGAGGGGCTGGGAAGGTAGCTCAGTGGTAGAGCGCTTGCCTTGCATACATGAGGCCCTGGGTTTGATTCCTCAGCACCACATAAGCAAAAAGAAAAAAGCCAGAAGTTGGGCTATGGCTCAAGTGGTAGAGTGCTAGCCTTAAGCTGAAGAGCTGAGGGACAGCACCCAGGCCAGAGTTCAGGCCTCACGACCGGACCCCCCCCAGATAGATAGATAGATAGATAGATAGATAGATAGATAGATAGATAGATAGATAGATAGGGAAGAAAGAAATCTCCCAAGGATTCCCATTATACTTAGAATGAACCCCAAAGCCCTTCCTAACATCTACTGGGTTTCGCTGCCCACAGACCACAGTTCACACTGGGATTGCTGTCCTCAAGAAATGGGATTCAAGCCGGGCGCTGGTGGCTGATGCCTGTAATCCTAGCTACTCAGGAGGCTGAGATCTGAGGATCGCGGTTCAAAGCCAGCCCGGGCAGGA